ATTCTGGTTTGAACTTCGTCCAGTCCGAGGTCTTATACTTATATTTCTCTTTCACAGATCGTGGCTGTTCTCTCTTTTTAGGCTGAAGTCAACCGGACATTGATCCGTACTCAACATATATCGACTACTGTCAAATCTGATAATATGACGAAAAGAGTTGAAATAAATGCCTGGAAGTTAACGAAAATGTCTTCGAACATATTTTGAAATAGTTTTAATATTTTGTGTCGAAAGACAATGCAATATATTTGAAATTTCGCTCTTTCATGAATTATTTTGAATTAACATTTTTTTATTCATTATTAATTCATATGAAACTCTGCCTTCAATAAACCCAATAAAACCCATGACGCAAAATTGATAGCTCTAGTAAACTTTCTATAACTATTCGTAGCCCACAGTTTTATCGTTTGTTTGAAGGTGATTGACAATGTTTCGTGATGAATTTCACTAGTTCCCCTAGATCCCCCTATGAAACTTTTGATTTTCATAGGGGGATCATTCGAGAGCCGAATACCTAGTTTTTTTAAGTAAACAAATGAATATCTATAGAACGGTTCATTTTTGGTATAGGGTGTATTTCATAAACTCACATTAGGATTATTCCAGAAGTTCATAAATGTGAAAATATACATGGTGTTATATATCAATTAAGAAAGTTGGTACCAATTTCTTATATAACCGAAAGTGTTGGAAAAATGCCATTTTTTTCATTCGATAAAGCATATTAAAAAACCTATATTGACCAATTCTTAGAATTACAAATCCTATCGTAGAAAAGAGAATTAAAACTTTCTATATTTTTTACTACTTTTATTTGTAACTATCGTTACTGCAGTTTCGCTTTATAAGGACATTTTCAAACTTATAATTAAATGTATAAGTATACTTTAGAACAATCAGAGAGGCTATCGAAATTGAAAAACAATGCAGAGGTTGCCAGCAACATGGAGATCCATCATATCACTCCACAAAATCAAACAGACCGCCCAATCAAAAGAGCAAAACTCAGCACATTATAATTCAGGCATAATGACAAACGTAGGTAGGCCAGCACAGGTAATCAGATCAACTCAGATGAAAAGTACCTCCTACACTTATAAATTGAGAAATAGAGTTCACAGAATCACTCTAGTTTCAAACTCCAGACATCACTAGAAGATGGTAAATTTGACTATGGCGAAACGTCGTGAAAATGGTCCTTATGACGATCAAAAACACAGAACACGAAATGAAACACCAAGTACTCATCTATTTATCTTTGTCTTATATTATACTATTGATTATATTGAAGTCTAAACTTGTTCATGGAATTCAGTTTAATAAGGAAATGAGAATTGCAAAATCGATTATACAGAAATAAAATGATAATAATATGATTTTTACGAGAGTGAACCAAGGTTGACCAGTGATTGCTATAGCCAAAAAAGATTGAATTGAGAAAATCCTGGATTTTCTAATCCTACGATATTTTAATATAGGGTCTTTCATTAAGCGCTTCCTAGCTTTGAATTTAAATAAAAGTGTGTGTGAGATATCATCGAAATTTTTCATTCGTTTGGAAGACCTATTGATGCTATTACGTGTGGAATATCACATAGTTCAAATGTCCGCCGTGGCTTCTCTGGGTGGAGCGCATCCGAAACGTCCAATTTTCCATGACTCTGGCGCATAAATCAGGCTAAATTTGACCGATAACATGGGTTATGTTGGCTTTGAGGACCGCCACAGTTAGTGGCTTATTCGCATACACCTGCGACGATATCAGTGGCCAGTATGCATCACCTCTACGTGAGATGAATATACCCTCAAATCGTTCGTGCAAAAAATTCAATGTGGCATGAGTGGTGTGGCACGTAGCGCCGTTCTGTTGATACCACATGTCTTTGGTGTCCAAATCATCCAATTCAGGCCACAAGACGTTGGTAATCATTGACCTATAGTGTTCGCCGTTGACAGTGATGGTCTGACCATCACGCCGCCAGCCCAAAATCCACACCAAACAGTGACTTTTTCGGGATGCATTGGACGCTCTTGGATCGAATGTGGATTCATATCGTCCCAAATTCGACAATTTGGTTTGTTTTTCATCCAGAATTGAGCCTCATCGCTGAAGAAGATTTTTGAATAAAAATTAGGTTCAGTTGCCAACTACTCCAGAGCCCATTCAGCAAACACACGTCGTTGTCTATGGTCGTGCACCTTCAGTTTCTGGATCAGCTGAATTTTGTACGGGTGCACGACGCAAAATTCGCCAAGTTGTGGTCTGCGAAAGGCCGAGTTCTTGTGATAGACGCGAAATCGACTGCCTCGGATTCTCCTGCACATTCTCACAGCGATTTTTAGGTAGTTCTTGCATTTTCTCGACGTACGGGTGTTCGTCGATCGTTTACTGAACCAGAGGATTCAAATTCATTCACTACATTGCGAATAGTCCTCTCGGTAGGACGATTATGACGACCGTAAAATGAACGGAGCGTGCGGTACGTTGCCCGGACAGAACACTCATTTTGATAAAACAATTGTATTATTCGCATCTGTTGTTGAATGCTTTATCTGCCCATGGTGATTTGGCAAAACAAGAATGAATATATGACAAGTGATTTAACATATGTAGCATCAACAAGATGGCCAATTGTCAAAGTTCGGAAGTCCCTGTTGGAAGGCCCTATACATGAGAAGTGAAGGAAACAAAGTCAATAGAGTTGGTACTGACTGGAAATCATGAACGCAGTAAATTATGACTCCACAACCACCCAAAATATATTTCCATAATACTAATTTGTCTGTTAGGCCTGTGGTGTCATTTGTAAAAATCTCGTAAAATCAACTTAAATCTGTATCAAGATTCAGAAAAAATAATAAGTTTGTTTGAAAGTGGTTAACAATGTTTCATGATGAATTTTACTAGTTCGAACTTCCATTGTCTATTATGATATAATATAATTCAAAATCTCTGAAAGAAGAAATAAAATTAAAAATTGAAATGAACATCTAAAAATAACAATTCTATCAAGCAATACACCGTGAAATGAAATAGCAATAAAATAAAAACCAACAAAAAAATAAAAATTGAACAATTAGAAAATTGAATGAATGATTAAAAAAGATTTCAAACCAAGTTACTTCACGACGTTTCTACTGTTAATATCTACAATCGTTTTCGTGTGATGACTGGGCTATTCCTCCGACAGATGACTATTTATAGGTCCACCGACGCATCCAGCCAAGCTACCGTAGATATACGCAACATATGTAAATATTTAATCAAGCGGAAAAACGATCAACTCCCGCTTAACCGGTGAAGCGGCGAGAGGGAAGAGGAGATAGGTAAAAGCGTTCGAATGACCTATAAATAGTGTCATTATTTTTCGAGTTTGAAAGCCGTGGGTTCTTGGAATTTCTTCCTGACGTTTCGCTGGCGCGAGTGGCTAGCTTCTTCAGAGGTTTAACCATCATGGCTTGCTGTCCGATTACTCGAAAGGCAATGACAATGAAAACCTCAGCCGCGAAAGTCTGAACCATTTTGACCTATAAATAGTCATCTCCCTGAGGAAATCTCCTACACGCCGAAAAGGTCAGGGAGCCAGGCTTCAACCTGTCTAAACTCAAGATGTCAATCGGAGGAATAGTCCAGTCATCACCCGAAGACGATTGTGGATACTAACAATTGAAACGTCTTGAAGTAACTTGGCTAGAAATCTTTTTCAATTATTCATTCAATTTGTCAATTGTTCAATTTTCAGTGTTTTGCTTATTTTTATTTTATTTTAATTTCATTTCACGTTGTAGCCTGATGTAGATATTGAGTTATGACTGACCATGTCTAAGTAAGCTATTATGAACTGAAAGTATTAAGTAAAAATCTCACCTCAAAGTGTTATTCAACCTACGTTTTGAATTTTAAAAAATTGAACACATTTCATTTTCAAATCAAGCACAACCTATTTTCGAATGAGATTGTGAAAATTTCTCAATCATTCCTCCAAAGAGACCGATTCTATTCTATTGCCATACTACGGAAATTGCAGTTTATGTCTGACAAAAATAAAAATAACCTGGTAACTATTTACTTCTTCCGATATTTTTCTGATGTAGAAACGTGCAATTGAAAAAGCTCTTTCGACTCATCTATTGACTTTCATTACTCAACATTTTTTATCAAAATGGTTAGTGCAGCTGTAAATAGAATATCTCTTGAACACAGGAAACTATGAATGTTTCATGGAGATGATCATGAAACATTTCATCAGTGATTTCAGCAAGTTTGATTCGAATGATTTTTTTTTTCATGTACATAGCAATATAATAATGAAACCTAATAATAATAATAATCAGGCAAATAAGCCAGATATAGTTCTTCTCTACCATCAGAGGAAGACGATAATTGTCGTGGAGTCTTCAGCTCCTGGCAAAACTAATATAGTCTCAAAAACAATTAAAATATCGAGATTTACTCTTCAAATTCCCCAGACTCTATTCAGACCACTCAATACAGTTTCTTTGATTATTGGAGTCCTTGATGGAATGGTGCCCTCTCGAATCTCGAAATTACGACGGCAGAAAACGGAGCCGGAGAAATGGAGAAGCCTGCCCTTTTTAGGTTTAGGTGTTTGCTTATGGCACATGATTCTCGGACCTAATGATCACTTACCCCACGGTGTGGGGAGTGGTCATGGTTGATGATGCTTGCTCGTCCTCCCGAATGTATCGGGGCTTCGGGCTACACTTATAGTGAAAAAGACACATTGTAATAGTTTGATCCTGTATACCTCGATTATGACTTATGCTTTTTTAAATATATATGTTTTTCTGAATGAGGACAGGAATATGAAAAGGTGAACTCGTATTTAAAACTGAATTTCCCATTCATTATGAAGTTTTCTTCGCGTTATTTGGGGAATTTCAGTTCTAAATAATGAGACTTTTGGGATACTTGGATCGACATGAGTTTGAAATCCATAGTATTGTATTGAAATTTGAAATTATGTTTCAGTTCTCCTGATAGCACTGGCTACATTGGGAATAATCCTTTTTTTCCTTCTGTTGATTTGTATTTTCTCCGTGTGTATCAAAGGAAAATCAGGAAATACTTCAGGCATGAGATTTATGCCACAAAAAGCAACTAATGGAGGAAATGGAAATACTTTGGACAGGAGGGCGATGATTCAAGATACTAGCTCCGAAGACAGTAGATCTGACACGAATGAAAGTGTCCCATATATTGAGGTGCGTAGAATAATTCATAATTATCGCTTAAAAAATGAGGGAGAAAAATGTTCAGCGAATAATTCTTCTAATTGTACTCATTACTTCAATATAATTCTGGTCCTGATTTAAAAAAACCACAGAGAGATTCTGGCTGATCAGCTTGATAATTACAAGACTTCGATGATGTCTTGCACAACTACTAGCTAAATCATGATGAAAAGGTTAGTTGAAAGAATTTCTGTTCATGACTTCATCAAGAATCGTTCCTTACAAGTGGACAAGGCAGATCCTCTCTCGGATACCATTACCATTCACGCCGGTATTTCCTAGGGACCTATGTCTTATCATCTTTTTTCTTCTGTACATACATGACCTTTTAGGAAAAACTAAAAATTAAATACACTACTTCGCTGCAGACTTTCTCATTTATCTATTTTTATGACCAATTATTTCCTTGTCCAATACAGCTTGGCGTGATATATAGTAACCAATTATAATTCAGTGATTTTCATTCCATTCCAGTGGAATTCCTCTGTATTACCTAGGCTTTTCGATCGTTCTTTAACTGAAAACTATCCACTGTCACCGTTCTCAAATTATTCCTCCCTTAAATGAACTCATTTAAAATAAAAAGGTTCCGTCAAATTTCACTGCTCATTTTCAATAATCCCAATAAATTCACCTAGTTTGCTCTTTTTTATATGCAGGAACAATCAAAGAAACCAAAAACTGCCCTAAAAAAGTTTTCTAAAATATCATTGCAAATTTCGGAAGACGTGGAAAACGGCGATAGTAACAATATATCCTTCGTGGATCAAAGAGACCGATCCCTTACTGTGATGATTCCCAGAGCTAAGTACCATCCTGCTTCTGCAACATCTCCTCTGATGAATTACACCACATTTGATGCCAGAAAACCATCAGTTCCATCCACTATAAATGAAACAAAGCTGTTGAGTTACTTGGACGCTGGACCATCTCCAAGTAAGGTAGGTCCAATTATTTACTATACATTATTATAATCGCCATCCACCTGACTGATACCCACTATGGGTAAAAAACCCTTTGAATAGCTGTCGGCTTATGATTTAAGTTACTGAATACTTCTGACGTTAAATTTGCAAGGACTTCCAAAGCTATAACCTCAATTTCTCTTTTTTTTTATCTCTTATCACTATATATGGGTTCCACAGAGAGGAAAAAAGACACAAAAGTGTTCAAATATACAAGTATGTACGATTTTCAAAACATAACAGTATAAAATAAATTCACAGGTAACAGTTCTTCTCAGTTCGTTCGTATAATATTTTTTTAAAACAAAATTTTGGGACATCTGAAACAATAATGGAATCACTGGAGTGCTAATGGTCCATGTAATTTCATTCTTATTCTATTCCAACACACAATCTTTGGAACGAATCTACCAAAATTGAAATAAAATTAATACAAGCTAACATTTTGCTCATTTTTTTTTCAAACTTCGCAGGAGTTATAATGATCATTTAAGCGACAAAAACAATATAAGCAATGGAGTATATTTTCTGAATTCTTAAAAACTTCACCCTTTTTTAAAATAATTAGTATTCTAAATTCCCTTTTCTTTTTGCCTATTTGAATAAAAAATGTCACACGCCTGCGAGACTGTCTTCCGCTAACAAAAAATCACAAATTTTTTTCCACGGAAATTCCAATTTTTCTGAATTATAACAATACTATGATGTAATGTTCACTCGACGACAACCTTCGAGAGAGCATTTTACTTCGTAAATAAATAACATTTCTAAGGATTATTTCCGAGGAAACCTATCTAAAGTTTTTCCGATTTTAAAAATCCTCTCAGTCAGGTTTCTTTCTTTGGACCTCTTTCAACACTTTTTTAATCTCATTTTTTTCATGTACTCCGTTAACCGGCTATTACCTCCTTATGGGCGACAACCCTCAGAATTTAAAACTTGTGCGAGCTGATTAACGAAGTATTACCTTTCAACGTGCGATCCTTGGCACGGGTTAGACGATATGCAGTAATACGATGATTGAATCATTTTCCAAGTTAATTGTAATCAGTAACAATAAACCCATTTCCCGCTCAGCTTGAGATAGAATTATTACAAATCGCAGTTTCACAGTGTGTGTTACCTGTCATAATAAAATTCACTAACACTCGAAGTTTATTTATATACCATAATATCTAATTGATTGTCTACTTTAGTCCGAACCCATCAGAAAAGTCAGCAAAACACCTACCGACACCATTATTGAAGAAAAACCAAACTCTCGTAAAACTTCCGGAGCGCTAATTTCAGCTGGATTTGAAGTGTCTGCCACAGTTGTCAACAATATGGGCACTTTGGGAACCACCTGTGGTACGGAAGCTGATAGAAGTGAAAATGCAACTTTGATTCACAGAATAAGTACCGATCTCTTATCGAGCACTGGCACCAGATCCCAATTCAATACACTGAGAAAATCACTTGTGTAAGTTGATTTTGATTAAACTTTTCACTTAGTTATATACAGGCCGTTTTTTAAGTTGATATCATTATTGCTATCTCGGAAACAGTAGATTCTACAAGAACGGTTTAAAGGAACAAAAGTTATCTTTTTAGGGATGCAAGATAATAGTATTCTCAGATCAACAAAATCACTAATTGTTTCTGAAATATTTGCACTGAAAATGACAGTTTTTGTTTTTTGATATACCGCCTCCATTTTCAATAATATCAAAAAATGGAGAGGAACTTATTGCTTTATTTTTTTTAATACTCTAATGAATCTGAACATGGAACAAACACATGACATCACCGCGAAAGAATGTAGTCGGGAATCGCCGATAAAATGCTAGTACCAAACCGACTACAGAATTCTAGAAAAGACCGTTACCGGTATAAACCCGTCTTCCCGACCCAAGAGGGCAGTTCAGAAAGTGAATCAAGCAGCTGAACGAGAAATTCAAATTATTATTATTGGAGTTTTCTCCCAACACCAAACCGTTATTGTAACACCTCGACACGTGTTTCGATCACCAAGTGATCAAGAGAAGAAGAAGATCAACCAGTTTGATCAAGAGGAAGATCAAACAGTATGTGGGCGATTTGAGTTCAATAATGAGCAAACTCGATGAGAATACCAAATCGCTGAAAGATGAACTTCAACAAAATTCGAAAAGTTTGGAAGATAAACTTCTAGAAAATGAGGAAGGCTTTTAAGCCTCAGAAAGAACTTTGTTGCGTGACGAGTCCACTCGAAGGAAGGATAGGAACCATCGAGACAGGAAGGAAATGAACACGGAAGTAGAGGAAATCAAAGGGGAGATCAAAGATGAAATCTAAGCAGAAATGAAGAGAATGGAAAAAATAGGCGATGAAATCAAAGGCGGTGTTGATGCAGAAATCAGCAAGATGAAGGAAAATATTAGCAAATTGTTAATTCTGCCCACACCACAGAAACTGCTACCGAAACTCAACTCCTGAACCAGGAAAGCTCTCCATGAAGCCACCCCAGGTCGACGGAAAAACTCCTTGGGCAAATTATCGCTGGCAATTCGAAGCTGTGGCCAGAGGAGTGCATGAGAATGCAGGAGAAATGCAGGAGAAACGGCAGGAGAAAAGGAAGGAGAGAAGGCATCAACACTGGCGTTACGTGGAGAAGCAACGAATATTTTGCAAACCCTCACGGCTCAAAAACAGGAAGACTATGACCAACTTATAAGACATCCTGAGCTACGGTATAGGCAGGCCTACCTAGAGCACGTTTACCATTCACTGCTGAAGTACCGCTGCCAGAAATCAGGAGAATTTCTAAAGGAATTTGAAGTCGACATTGCTCGATTAGTTCGTCTGCCATATCCTGCTACACCGAAAATGTGATGGAGCGGTTAGCAGTTCAGGCATTCTGAGGCAGGCCTTGATACTAGCTCATCCCAAACATCTCGTGGATACACTGGCAAGCGCCCTGAAGATTGAGGCTGCACAACAATCCTGCAAGAGCCAGAGCAAAGTTCCAACTATGGAGAAAGATGGACAGGTGCCTGCTGATATTGAGGCCACCATTAGAAAGGTAATAAAAGAAGTGTAGCCTGAGAGAATTCAAATAAGATGCTGGAAGTGTGGGAAAATTGGGTATGTGCGTAGAAAATGTCCAGCTTTCAAATAACTAACACCAAATCACGAAAACTACAGGGGGTCGATGAGAAGGGGCAATCGTCGGCCTGTACCCAGCAACCCACCGTAAAAAACGCATATGTTGCCATTCTTCAACGACAAAACAGAGGTGTTTTCGTAGACGGCCTCATCAACAAGTCTTGCACCATGCTGCTAGATACAGGTGCGACGATCACCACTCTCGGGCCAACTTTTGCCAAAACACCGGCAAGAATTGAACCGTCAAGTTGGAAGCTTCGCACCGCAACAGGGGAGCCAGCCACTGTACTTGAAGAACTACCAATTGAATTGGTATTGGACAGCATTGAATTGAACGATCGTGCATTGGTGGCGGACATAGAGGACGATGCGATTCTTGAAATGGACATAATGAATTCCAGAGGGTTCGAGCTGAAATTTCAAAACGCCGGGCAGCAAGCTTCGGCATAGAATAGACGACATCCATGAACGAGTCCGTCTGAACATCCGGAGTGCCAGCGATAAGATGAAGAAGGCCTATGACATCAGGGCGAATGCTGAAGGATTCGAAACCGGTGACCTAGATTAGCTGTACAACCCTAAGCGACGCCGTGGTTTATCACTAAATTTGCGGAACTTGTGGGAAGGTCTATACACAATCGTGAAGAAGATAAATGGCCTCGTCTACCAAATCCATGAGCCACCTCGAGGAAAGCCTATAGTCGTCCATTTTGATAGATTGGCACCTCGTGCTGAAAATCACGCCCAAGTTCGCGCCCTCGGACCACCAGAGGATGAAATGATGTTCCAGAAGTACATGCCTTCATACTCGGACATGGGATAACTCAAGAAGGGCCACGAGACCTTTCCATGATTCCAGTTGAATACTCACTAGCTCACTGCGTGGCAAAGAATCTCCAAATGTCCAGAGGTATCGCTGTAATATTCACCAAGAAATTCGGTCAGCTCCAAACATCACAAGATCAGAATCCAGAAGTCGGAGGAGTGATATAGTTAAGAAGGGTCAGAGAAACATTTTCTACTTGGTGACCAAAAAGCATTTTCGAGACAAACCGTCCAATGAAGATGTCTGGAGGAGTCTTACCAGACTGAGGGACACGATGCTCAACCTGAATATTGTGGATTTGGCAATCCCGAAATTAGCCTCTGGGCTTGACAAGTTGGATTGGAGAATTGTGAGAAGCATGTTGGAAACGATATTCAGATCCAGCGGCATCAAAATTTTGGTGTGCGGTTACCATCTTCCACGAGCGAGCATGAGGACTGTGAAGTGTTAATTCCATCGAACTTCACATTGCAGATATGGGGAGTTCTGCAGGTATCATTACACGTTAAGGATGACATTTAGTGGCGAAACGTCTTTAAGAAGGGGGCAATGTAACGAATCTAAAGCCGCCCCTGACCAGGACGCCGACCAGATCATGGAACAAACACATGACAGCCACCACGAAAGCATAAAGTCGGGAATCGCCGGTACAATTTTAGTACCGAACCGACTACAGAATTCTAGAAAGGACCGTTACCGATATAAACCCGTCTTTCCGACCCAAGAAGGCAGTTCAGAAAGTGAATCGAGTGGTTAAACAAGAAATTCAAATAGTGGAAATGAATTAAGCGTTAATTGCTAAGGGTTGGAGTAAATAAATTAGCGTAAATTGTGATTAGTGAAATATTGTTGGAAATTGTTTTTTTTAAGACAGTTAATTCTTTAATTTGTCGCAATACGAACCTGTGAATTTTTTTATATATTTTGGTAGTCATTATAATTATGAATCCATTGACATATTACATCATATGCATTTTTCGACGTTTCTTCCAGAAAGCACTTAATCAAAATTCCATCAATTTACCTTTTTTTCAATGAGAAATATTTTTTTTAAATATGGTTGCGTTGAAAGTATCGTAATACACCACAATGAAAAAGAAACAGTTGCAAACGAGAATCTAAATCGTAGAAAATGAACATCGTACCGGAATGCCTCACGTTACTATTTTTAAGTTACCGTCTCACGCGATATCGCATTAAATGTTTAAATTGTCGTCCATCATTTCTCAAACAAATACTTGCTCTAGAAATAGTGTGCTTGTGGCTGAGAAATAGTATGCTTGTGGCAGTTCTATAACATCTGTAGAGTGATAGCCATATAGTCTTTCCTGATTGAATCGTTTCATTCCTCAATATTTTCAAAATTGATTCTGAATACTTTCTGAATCTTTTATGAAGCCTCACAATGAAAAATCTAGAAGGGAAAGTTCCGGTGAACGTAGTGGGCATTCAATAGGACCATTAATTCCTATCCATCTTCCTGGCATAGTTGTATTGAGGAAATCTCTGCACATTCTCCTGCGATGTGGTGGAGCTCCGTCGTGTTGGAAATACTCATATTTTCTAATTAGGCTAAGTGGCAAGTCTTGTATAAACTCAATTAGAGTCCCTGATGAGAAGTCCAAGTATACTTCACCGGTCAGAGATGTTTCAAAAAAGTGGCAGCTAATAATTTCATTATCAAGAACATCGAGGCATATACCATATCTCTCTTGAAAATTGGTAACCCAATGTAAATATTCATTTTCTTGTCGCCAGTGATAATGTATTTTACTGTTGAACCATCAGTTGTTGGTAAATATGCTTTCATAACACAACATTTTTTTTTATTTCATTATTTTGGCGAAATTTTTTAACGAGCCATCCACAAAAAACTTTTCTCCTGTTGAAGTCCGTCAAACGCAAATGATTTGATTTTTCTTTAAAATTTTCCGTACAGACATAGTGGATATGGCTGAATTATGGGCAATCTCCCTCAGTGATACACGAATTTCATTATCGCCACCACATTCAATAACCGTACATTTTTTTTGGAGGTTTTTCAAAGGATCCATAATTTAGTGAACTATTTTCGATACGTTGAGAATATCTATGATTAGGTTGTCGTCGTTCAGGATACAATTCCTGATACATTTCCAGAGATTTGGTAGTATCTCTCAAACATCTCGAATAAACAAAAAGCATATCGACTTTTTCGTCATTGGAAAAATTCATGTTCTTCCCTTAAAATCGCCCACCAAATTGAATAACTGTTGTTGATATAGGTAATCATTTTTTGAACAGAAATTACCATCTTTATAGGACCTACAATTTCCGAGATAGCAATAGTGATATCAGCTAAAAAAACGGCCTGTATATATCATCTTCAATTATCCAAGCTTATTCACGTTATTCTGTATGAAACATCATAGCTAAAGCATTTGATTTTGAAATAATGTTTCCCAAAGCATGGATAGGGCTACTTTTTAAAAGTATGTTCGTGTTGTACAAGGTGTTCAGAAACACTAAACATATCAAAGTTGTTATTTTTTGAATGGAATG